GAGGCGGACGAGCCGGGGAGCATTCAATTCAACTACCAACTATGGCGGCAGCAGCGTAACGAGACTGTTATGGATGAGACACAGCAGCACATTCAAAGAGCGGGTATGTCTGGAACTACGTGACTTCTTGAAGTCAAATGCTCATTTTGAATTAGAACTGTGCCCGTGGGATCGACCTGTAGCGACGCTGCAGGTTTCGGGCCATCCTCTGACCATGGTATTCCACTCGTACGACAAGCATCTATTCGTTGCAAATGAGTCGGATATAGTTAGGTTGGTTCCTATCCCACTTGGCCTGCTTTCGTAACTAATTGCATCCTTTCAGCGTTTGGGACTGGTCGCAACGGCGACGACTGAGCTCATTCCACAACGGTAACCCATCAGGCACGAGCGTGACCTCGCTACAGGTCATCAACCAAGATGTGGGCGGTATGATCCTCACTGGGTCTTGTAAGTCTTATACGCACCTGGAAGGGCGCTCTCTCACTTTCATTAGCTGATGGCGTCGTTCGCCTCTATCGGAACTACGATCCGGCGGTGGACCAAGGCCCTGTCCAGATGGTTAGCGCGTTCCGGGGGCTCACGGAACTGGTCAATATCCGTCAAGGTGCTGGCATCGTAATGGACTGGAAGCAGTCTACCGGTATACTTTTGGTTGGCGGTGACTCGCGAACCATCAAGGTATGGGATGCCCAAACTGAGACTCCGATTTTGGTGAGCGGTCTGGATTGCCATAACAAGCTGTCGTTGATTCTCATACGCGTTCCAGGATTTGGACACCAACTCGGACAGCCCTGTCACCGCCATAGTCTGCGACATGGAACCCTCCCAGATATTCGCTGCCAGTTTCGCCAATGGTGAAGTGAAACTCTTTGACCGGCGCATGGAAGAGGAAGACTCCGTGGTCCGAAAATTCGTCGAGCACGAGTCCTGGGTCCAAAACGTCCGGTGGCATCCGGCAGCGAGGTCTCAGTTCCTCTCGGCAAGGTGCGCACGCCGCAAACTCCCTCATCTCGATCTGACGCCTCTCCAGTTTGGATGGCAAGGTCAAGCTGTGGGATCTACGGAGACCCGATAATTCGTTGATCACTTGGGACCTCCTTCCCGAAGGTCTTTCTACTTTCGACTGCCATCCCACTACTGCCGTATTTGCAGTGTAAGTCTTGTTCGAACAAACTTCCATTTTCTTATCCCCGAACAGGACCTCTGCTATCTCCCCACGGGCCTGGAGGTCGCAACGCGTCAAGGTGCAGTCTTTGAAGGAAGACGTGACGGTCTCTAGCTTTGGTGTATCTACGGGGTTGACAGCGCCGCCGTCCCGCGGCTTGTTGTCTTCGTTCATCCCTCGGTCGAATTCCCTCGCATTCCACCCGCTTGAGATGTTGTACGGAGTAGGTGAACCGGATGGTACCGGTGAGTTTATTGTCGGCTTGTCCTCCGTCGGAAAACTCATCCCGTCTAGTGAGGGTTCTTGGTTGCAAGCTTAATTAATCTAGACTGCTATATCTATCATCTTGCTTTTTAATACCTTGTAAAATATGTCGCTATCGCTCACACTATTGAATTCTCGATGGGAATCAACGAAGATACGGAACACGAACTACTTGTTGTGCAGAGACTGCGGAGCCTAGGGGTTGAGAAACGAAGATGAATCATGCTTGCTCTAAAATGAAGGAAAGAGGCCGAGGGTTGGGAAAAAGAAGACAATAAGGAAATGTGTTGGGTTACATCCGCCGCGAGTGCCATGTTTCGAGGTCCGGGTGTTCTTTCAGACTGGAGATAGAAGACGCGAAGAATTCTAAACTCCAACAAAACAAGTGCTCTCTGTGAGGATCGAACTCACGACCTCCAGATTAAAGGATCCAATGATCCCTCACACACAAATATGAGACTGGCGCTCTAACCAGCTGAGCCAAGAAAGCAACAAGAAGTTTTTCACAGTGGAGGTCACCAGCTTAGAGGACGCAGCATCAGAAAGAGGACAAATGGAGCAACATTAGGAAATAATCTGAACCTTACCAAAAGAGCAGGTGTAAAGTCAGGATACAACAAGATATCTACTTCCCCAGGTGAGATGTTGCTTTGCCCATATTGTTAACTTGTGCCCCAGGCTGTTATCCAGTCATTCTTGGCTACTTCTGGCCCCAAAAGCACAACACAGAGATCAACTGGGAGAGGCCCCATGAAGCTGCACCAAAGGATGGTTTGGAAAATTCCCAAAATTCGGCCTCAAAAAGCTTAAGATTTTGGCGTAGAAAAGCTTAAAAGTTACAAGGCTTGTCACATGAGCGACCAAATTCCGGTAATTTTGGTTCAAAAATTCATTTTTCGCCTCCCTGCTGCCGAACACACAACATACTCGCTATTTCTTCTCCTTTGGCTGCCCTAGCTCAATTGTAAGCTTGAGGTCCGTAGATAGTGGTCCCTTTTTCGTCAATGCCGACCAACATGATGCTGCGTGTGACTTTAGTGTTCGGTGTTGAGATTCGCCAAGGACCGGTTCGAAAATGTGAGGGCCCAGATTGAAAACTAGGTGATCTGCTCTTGTGTGCATCATGTGTAGGCAGATATGGGAGCCCCTGTGATGCCAAGAAAACATTGGTGCGACAGTGTCACCAGTCTCGTCTTCATCATCAGAGTCGTTATCCTGCCATTTGATTCAGTTAAAAAATCTGTACTGCTGAAACTTGGCGAAATTATTGCAAAAACAAAAAACAAAGACCTTAAGAATCAAAGTGGGAGGACCTAATGCAGCGGCAATATGAGACAGTATACCATGACACTGGGCCAGACTGCCATGAAAAAGCTTAACTATGCACAAGGCTCACCAAAATTTGGCCTCAAAAAGCTTAACTTTGGACAAGGAAATTTCAAATTTTCACCCTGAAAAAGCTTAACTTTTGAGTCATCCTTTGGTGGAGCTTCACGGGGCCTACTGGGAGTCCAAGGAAGTTGAGACGATGCACTGCCTGGTGAGTTGCCACACCTGTTGCAACAAGCTTAGAGCTGTCTGCCAGAGTGCAAAAATCTTAGCTGCCATTCTCTGGCAGCTCCGTGAGGGCCCAGTTCTGTCCATCTGCACCATTGGCATGGAGGAATGGCAAGAAGACAACTGGTACAACCTGGAAGTCAATGGGGACAACCTTCCAGACCTGATCCCAGACCCGGACAACAACAATGACGACCTCGAGGAAGGTGGCCAGATCCTCTACACTGTGTTTGCCCCAGCCAAGGAGGTCCAAGCTGAGGAAATTCACACAGGCAACACCGTCTCACAGCAGCTGGAAATTTGAAGAGAGGGTGCTAGGGGGAGGAGTAATGAGCGGGTGGGGGAAAGACACTGCACAGAAAGACAAGAAAAGAGAGCTGAGCAGATGCATTGCCATCTAGAGGCAGAGAAACCAGTTGATGGGACAGATGGGTTCTGGACCAATGACCCTGATATCAATGGAATTGTAACCAAAAGCCAACATCATGGATGCCCCATAGGAGAGCTTATGGAAGAATTGGTATGGGTTGCAGAAGTTCTCCGCACCATACCTGAGCAGAAGTTGGGTCCCGTTGGTGTTCTGGTGATTCCACTCCACAGAACGTTGAGGAGGGTTGGCAGGGTCGAGGATGAGCTGGAAACCCAGGTTCCAAGCTAGCAGAAAGTTGTGCAAAGTGAAGGGCATGGTGATGGAGGGAGCGAGAAAGTAGTGCTGCAGAGGAGGACTCAAGGCTCTGATTAAGTTCAGAACCCAGAACCCATGTTTCAAGGAGGAAACTTAAAGTGCTTTAAAAAGGAAGTGCTAAGCGAGATCTACATTTGGAAGTAGATCAAAGGGACCCTCGCTTCAATGTCATGACAACAAAGATGCCACCAGCAATCACAGAAACCTTGCTGAAATAGGTGCAAGCACGGTGTGAAGTCTCTGAGCATGCTACGTACTGCTCGTTGCCTCATGGCCCCTGCAAGCCATCTGTACAAGTCACAGAACGAGCTCAGATGTACGTGACAGATCTTCCTAAACAGGATTCTATGTTACCACACACTTCATCGCCTGAACTTCCTTGGACTCCCAGTTGATCTCTGTGTTGTGCTTTTGGGGCCAGAAGTAGCCAAGAATGACTGGATAACAGCCTGGGGCACAAGTTAACAATATGGGCAAAGCAACATCTCACCTGGGGAAGTAGATACTCGTGGTCACATAAAGTGTTGGCGTATGGGTTTTTTGGCATTTATGGCCCGCCAGAACATATTTCTGATTAAAATCAAATATGAGGGGCTAGAGGAGGTCGACACCAATATCTTCGAGTATTCCATCCCATCAAAATATTTTGATGTGATGTTGATAGCGTCTAAACAAGAAATCACTGATTTTCCAACTCAACGTGTGAATATTTTTAGGATAATCTAAAAGGGCCAAAATGAAGTCTAAGGGGTGCTAAAGAATCCCGCACTTTGAATTAGGTAAAAACATACAGTCAATATCGAGCTACAACGCTCACAAAATGGCTATTTTGCCCCATTTTGGGCCATTTCATGCATTTCTTGCCGAAAATGACGGTTTTGCAAGTGCCCTGGTTCAATATTGGCTGTATATTTTTCCTTGACTCAAAGTGCGAAATTGTTTAGCACACCTTGGACTTCATTTTGGTGTTTTTAGATTGTGTTGAAAAAATTCACACGTTGAGTTGAAAAATCGGTGATTTCTTGTTTACGCACGATCGACGCTATATCAAAACATTTTGATGCGATCAAATACTGAGACACATTGGCCTGGGTGTCCTCTGACCCCTATTACTTGATTTTGGACAGAAATCAGCTCTGGTGAGCGAGAAATGTCCAAGAACCCATACGCCAACACTTTATGTGACCACGAGTATCTTGTTGTATCCTGACTTTACACCTGCTCTTTTGGTAAGGTTCAGATTATTTCCTAATGTTGCTCCATTTGTCCTCTTTCTGATGCTGCGTCCTCTAAGCTGGTGACCTCCACTGTGAAAAACTTCTTGTTGCTTTCTTGGCTCAGCTGGTTAGAGCGCCAGTCTCATATTTGTGTGTGAGGGATCATTGGATCCTTTAATCTGGAGGTCGTGAGTTCGATCCTCACAGAGAGCACTTGTTTTGTTGGAGTTTAGAATTCTTCGCGTCTTCTATCTCCAGTCTGAAAGAACACCCGGACCTCGAAACATGGCACTCGCGGCGGATGTAACCCAACACATTTCCTTATTGTCTTCTTTTTCCCAACCCTCGGCCTCTTTCCTTCATTTTAGAGCAAGCATGATTCATCTTCGTTTCTCAACCCCTAGGCTCCGCAGTCTCTGCACAACAAGTAGTTCGTGTTCCGTATCTTCGTTGATTCCCATCGAGAATTCAATAGTGTGAGCGATAGCGACATATTTTACAAGGTATTAAAAAGCAAGATGATAGATATAGCAGTCTAGATTAATTAAGCTTGCAACCAAGAACCCTCACTAGACGGGATGAGTTTTCCGACGGAGGACAAGCCGACAATAAACTCACCGGTACCATCCGGTTCACCTACTCCGTACAACATCTCAAGCGGGTGGAATGCGAGGGAATTCGACCGAGGGATGAACGAAGACAACAAGCCGCGGGACGGCGGCGCTGTCAACCCCGTAGATACACCAAAGCTAGAGACCGTCACGTCTTCCTTCAAAGACTGCACCTTGACGCGTTGCGACCTCCAGGCCCGTGGGGAGATAGCAGAGGTCCTGTTCGGGGATAAGAAAATGGAAGTTTGTTCGAACAAGACTTACACTGCAAATACGGCAGTAGTGGGATGGCAGTCGAAAGTAGAAAGACCTTCGGGAAGGAGGTCCCAAGTGATCAACGAATTATCGGGTCTCCGTAGATCCCACAGCTTGACCTTGCCATCCAAACTGGAGAGGCGTCAGATCGAGATGAGGGAGTTTGCGGCGTGCGCACCTTGCCGAGAGGAACTGAGACCTCGCTGCCGGATGCCACCGGACGTTTTGGACCCAGGACTCGTGCTCGACGAATTTTCGGACCACGGGAGGATGCGAACAAGGAAATACAAGGAATTAGCAGATCAACAGCAGCAGAATTCCAATACATGCCTCGCTTTCAAAGAAGGTGAGGTTGTATTTCAGCTCAGTTGCAATCAAAGCGGCTGAGACTGAGCTTGTATATTTGGTGTGCACTGATTTGCGGTGTTTCGATTTGATCCCAAGTCGCGACGCGTCAAGTAATCACCACTACCATGTCCGAGGAAGAGCAAGTAGAAGAGCATTCTCGCTCACATAGTCCGACTGGATCTATTCCGGTGAAGCAACGAAGACCTTTGCGGTCCTGTGATACTTGTCGACAGCGTAAAAGTGGGTCGCGAACTCTACACTCAATATGCACCTAATATATCGTTTTTGTGTAGTTCGATGTATCCTGTCTTCTTCAGTGTCTTTTAAACCCTCTAACGGTCATTAGGCGATGGCCAGAATATGCCCGACGGTCACTGCTCGAGTTGTTTGGCCTTTGGTTCGCCCTGTACGTATATGGAGCCGGCGAAGAAGCGTGGTAGGAAGCACAGGTATGTATCCTTGTGAGATTTGTGTTCAGGTCTCTGATTTTTTTTTGTCCGCGAAAGCCTTATGGACGAGCTCAAGAAAGAAAACGATGACCTCAAGACGGAGAATGCTTCACTGAAAGCTAAATTACGATCGCTCTCTGTGTGCTCTCTGTGTGCTCAGGCCTTGGGTGGACCCTCCAGCGGTATCTCAACACTTCCCTGCAGCGCTCCTGCGGCCAAGACCGCCTTGGAGTCGGGGGATACCCTTGAGGAACTGTCTTCGCGTTTCAGTCAGTTTGACTTGGATGAGTTTGGAAACAACTACTTCGGTGCATCCAGTAGTTTCTCTCTTGCCGACCACACCATCGCGGTTAGCACATTCACGAAATGCGCATACTTTATAACCCTTGCATCCACAGATGAAAGAAACACATTACGGACGACCATTCACGTTACATCCGCGCCGCCGCTTATATTGGGACATGCTACCGGCAAGTTGATTTCCGCCGTCCAAGTCCCCACTGACTAGAATTTTGTCTAGTGGGAGAAAGAAGCATATAACCTTCGGCCACAGTATGTTTATCCTCCCGCCGACTTGATAGATTCACTTCTGCGTCTATATTTTACAAATGTACACCCCACTCTACCCATTCTGAACCGCCCTTCATTTGAGCGGTCTGTAGCGCAAGGCCTGCACTTGACGGACACACAGTTTGGCGGAACGTTACTTTCCGTGCTGGCTATTGGCTCGCGGGTGAGCGCACTTCGATTCCCCATGACTCTATTTATAACTATTGTTCCAAGTACTCTAAAGACTCTCGCGTGTTCGTCGATGGTGACGCATCATGCCTTTCGGCCGGCTGGAAGTTTGCGAATCAAATTTGGATCCTACGAAATTTGTTTGAACCTACGATACATGAGGTCCAGATGTACTGCGTATGTATGCTCATATTCCATCTACGACACCTCTCCCAATGTCTTTATTTTCAGATCCTGACCCTCTATGCCATGGGGATATCCATGCCCCAAAACTCCTGGCTGTACCTCGTATGCTCGTCCAAACACTCCCATGAAACATTGGATATAAATTTCCTTAGGGAATTGGGATTCGCTGCCTTCACCACCGCGGCGCCCACCGAAGAAAGCCCGAAGGCCCCAAGTGGGAGTCTGATCATGACGAGGAGCTGTGGAGACGCGCGTTCTGGTCCTTCGTCGCTTTGGAGCGATTGGTGTGCGCTTGCATCGGGCGCCCAATGAGCCTGCAAGCTGAGGAGTACCAGTTTGATCGCCTAGCCTCTGTCCTTTCTGATGGCTGTTAGGTACGACACTGAACCGCCACTTCAAGTGGATGATGAATACTGGGACCAGGGATTTACGCAGCCGCCAGGAAAACCTTCCCAGCTGTCGTATTTTGTCTGCGATTTGCGGCTTTGCGAGGTGATCCTATCGATCCCATTCCGCGTATGTATTCTGAGTTCGTCAAACAGATCTCAGCCGATGTGATGCGACGATTGTATGCGTCGAAAAAGTCGAAGATACTGATGGGCTGGGAAAGCCTGGACTGGGACCAGCGCACTGTTGCTCATTTCGACTCAATGATGAACGACTTTTTAGATTCCATCCCATCTCATCGTACGTCTTTACAATTTCCGTTTCTATATTCTAACCTTTCCACAGTTAGGTGGGATCCGGACAGTCCGCCACAGGGTGTATTCTTTGACCAGTCGGCCGTGCTGCATGTGTCGTACCACTATCTTATGATAGCGGTTCGAATCCTTCTCGGACGCTCTTAGACTTGCTGAAGTTCTTTGCAGATCCACCGACCATATATCCAAAAGGCGACCAGACTGACCGCCACGTCGCTCTCCATCTGCGCAAATGCAGCACGCAAGATCCTTCGCACGGCAAATATTTGGTTCACTAAATTACAACGATTACCTCCACAAAATCTCATTGTATGTTCCTTCCTGCCTTTGTTGATATGTGGCTAAGTCTCAAGTAGAACCCCGTTTTCGTCTCAGGGCTCATTCTTCTTTTGAATATGTTGGCAGCCAAACGTGTCGGTATCTCAATAGACAAGAACAAGGATTCGGTTCTCGTCGCGATAGCGATGGAGTTCCTCAAAGTTGCTGAAACCAGGTATGCTGCGCTTTCTTGCCGCCATGCCGCTCGATACCAAGTCATAGATATCAACCGGCTGGTCGCATTTCGGATATCTTGCGGGATGTGTGGTCTTTCGATACCCAGCCGAACACTCAAATTGCTATTGACCCTGGCGCATACAAGAATGGAGCTGCCGAGTTCGCTGCCCCCGAGTCTCAGTCTCCAAACAACTTTAGCTCTCCTCTGGCAAATGAGCTGAACGGAAATTACTCACATCTTGACATTCCTTTCACCGACACAGCTGGCCAATCTTCCGGCCCCAGACCGGGAATGTCCATTGAGCAGTTGCTTGCAGATGCGGGCACATCGGATACCACGAGGAGCGTTTTTGAAGACGAACTTATGTCCATGTGGATGGCTGTCCCAACCGACGTCGCGTGCGGACAATGTTGTTTTTATCCCTCCACGTTAATTGAACGAATGATCCGCAGGCATATGGTTGGTGGCTGGGAGACATACGTTGAGGATAGGAATGTCGCGGAGGTAAACTGGTTCAGCAGTTTCGGAGCACCACACTACTAGGAGTATCCCCTCGTCATCATCGTATATGTTGCATGTATCATGGCTTCGCATTGTTATTATTGTGGGCGGCTTCACACCATAGTTTCGAAATTACCGTACTGTCTATCCGCTTGCCCTGGACGGCCAGCTCAGTGACCTCGAGCAAGAGGACAACCGTACTCTGAGACGTATTTTCGCCCTACTCTGCTGCTTCTCCAATTCTTTCGCCGTGCGTCGAGTCAAGATCTGGGCCGATTTGGGGACGAGTTGGATTGTCGTTTAGTAGTAAAGTTCTAGCAGCAAAATTCTACAGTGACGTGTCTGTTAATCGCAGCCGCGCAAGTCCATGTCGTGAATCTGCCGAACGGTCGTCTCCCTCAGCGTCGCAAGCTGGTTGAGCATGAGTTACACGCGTGAAGAATCGTGCGCAGAACAAGTGCGCCAGCGCTTGCACGTGACCCTGTCAGTGAGATCAATTGAATGACGGTGACAAACACCAACATGCTGCATAGGGGTAGTTCGCCCCTTGCCTTCGACCATGACCAACACTCCCCCGCCCACCAATGCCCAAGGGACCCCGCCCTCGCCCATCTCTACGCAACCTGCGGATTTGAATATGTCTGCCCATCTGTCCCCAACACCCCGATCTCCGCTCCCAGGGCCAGCCCCGCTTTCGCGCGCGTTTAAATGTGGGCTTGCAATAATTACACTTCTTCCAGTCGGTACTCTCGCCCGCCTCGAGCTATTGCCCTTCCGGGTCATCCTCCTGTTTGGGGTTGCCTCTGTGGATCATAATATCGAAGACCGAAACATAGCCTTCAGTTTCATGTTTCTGATCACTCTTGTTCTTTGGGGATGTAGGTCACATCTCCTCGTTCGGTTTCTACCCGCTGAATGAATCCAGTTT